ATGAGTATAAGGCTTTAGGGGAGGCTGGGGGCCAGGGGCTCTACAAAACCTTCCGCTTTAAGCCTGCCCATTGGTTGTATGGCTTTCATCTGTGTACAGTTGCTACTCACATTTCCACCGATGTCATGTTACACAAGCAGAGGTGACATTTAGACCTTAAATGTCACCTCTGTGTGTATAAGGTGACATTCAGGCGAAGAGATGTATACAGATAGGTCCATATATATGTACATACCCTCAAATTAAACCTGAGAGTGCGCTCTTTCAGCCCATATCCATTATATAACTATATCTTGAATATGTTTTGGTAAATACCTGAAAAAAACTAAAATTGTGCCTGTGTCCAAATATATATGGACCTAACTGTATGTGAGTCTCTAATTGGTGGAAATGAGAGTAGCAAATGTGTACAGATGAGAGCCATACAACCAATGGGAAAGGCTTAACCACTTGCCATCCGCCTGCTGTTTATAAACGGCAGGGCGGTGGCAGTCCGGGGGCGGGTTGCCGTTCATAAACGGCACCCGCCTTTTCCAGCTGTGCGCGCTCCCTGGGAGCACGCACCACCGCGATCCGGTGCCCGCTGTGTCCCCTGGACACAGTGAAACACCGATCGTCGGACGGGACCTCTGTACGAGGTCCCGGTCATGTGATCACTGATTGGCCAATCAATGATCACATGCAAAGTAGTAAGCAAGATGTCACTTGTGACATCATTGCTTACTACATGTGAAATCTGTGAATGATCACAGAGGTCACATGGTACAAGGCTATTCACAACAGCCTTGTACCATGTGACAAGTTGTGACCAATCACAGCTCACTTAGTAGTTCTCAATGGCTGCAAGAATGCAGACAGAAAGAGAAATGATTGCTTTTACATCCTTTATGGGTGTAAAAGCAATCAGTGTAAAAAAAGAAAAAAAAAAAAAATCACCCCCCACAAGTAGTACAGTGTCACCATAGTGACACTGTACTGCTAGGGTGACAGTATGTAAAAAAAAAAAATAATAATAATAATAATAATAGAAAAAAATTTAATAAAAATGTAAAAAAAATGTTTAAAAAATTATAATTTTTGGTTATAAACTAATTTGGATTTTTTTTTTTTACTAAAAAAATAACGGAATACATTTTGGCCAAGATTTATGATGAAATATTATTTATTAAAAAAAAAACACTCTTTTTCTAAATTTTTGGACATTTTCATTTACATAACAAAAAAAAATAAAAATCCCAGTGGTGAATAAATACCACCATAATAAAGCTTTATCTGTCTCAAAAAAATGGTAAAAAATTCATATGGGTACAGTGTTGCATGATCCGCGCAATTGTCATTCAAAGTGTGATAGCGCTGAAAGCTGAAAATTGCCCTGGACAGGAAGGGGGTAAAGTCTAAATGAACCAAATATTCTGTAGGGCCCAGAGCCCACCTTCTGATCCCTAATTGGCATTGTGCCATCATTGTATGGGGTTCCAAAACATCATATGGAGATTATATAGTATACTGTACGTGTCCTCACATAGAAATCCACCATTTCTTTGGTCTCTTTATGTCCCCATAAGACATATACATTTATAGGGGGTTCCTTTTAAAGCAGAATAGATCCAGGTTTTGTCATAGGAAATTGCATTTTGATACTTCTTTGAGCAGGTATGTAAATAAGTGTTGTCGGTTATGTTTACCTTTAGGTATCCCTTGAATGTTAGAGATAGTGCATGATAGCAACCGCGGTATCTTTCCACTGGCTGGTTCAGACCAGGGGCGGACTGACAACTCATGGGGCCCCCGGGCAATAGGGGATCATGGGGCCCCTGTGTCCTTGCCCAAACTCAAAAAAGCCTATGAAAAAGGTACCAGGGGCATCTCAAGGGGCCACCTTCTGACTCCGGGCCCTCGGGCAGTGCCCGAGTTTCCAAATGGTCAGTCCGCCCCTGGTTCACACTGGTGATCTGCCGGATTGGAGGTCATTCTGCTAAACAATTACTAGATGCACTGTGCCAGGGTGACTGAGGCCAGTATGGGAGAACTGAAAATGATTATCTTACTTGAACACAACGTCTGATTTTCGTTTAATGTGTACATTTATCGTACAGAAATAATCAAATAGAAAAAAATGCTCATGATCAGAAGCATAGAACAACCCTACACTTCCTCTTTTACTACGCTAGTACGTAGCTACGTTTGCCTTTGTCAGACGATAATTTTCAATTATCGTGATACGATCAGATCATCGGATCAATATCATTCTGACTACATCATGATACGCACGTTTGTGGAATATAGGACGATCGGTCGTCTGATTTTCTCATAGTGTGTACTGGGCTTAAGACTGCTTTGACTATTTGCAATAGCACTTGTACTTCATAGGAGGCCAGGATGGCAAGTGCTCAAGTTTAGAAGGAGAGAATACTATAGATATGGATGGATGGCAGTCTATCCAACTAAAGAGGAGTAAAGTTGGCTATACGCCAGGACTTCTATCAAGCCTCTCCCATCCTCTGGAACACCTTACCCCAATCTGTCTGACTATCTCACACTGCCCACTTTTAGGCAATCCCTAATAATCCTTCTCTTTAAAGCAGCCTATCTTGCCTCCACCTACTAACTGTACTTCTATATTCTCCATCGGCTCATTCCTCACAGATTTTACCTTTTGTATCATTTGACCCTCCCCTTTAGATTGTAAGCTCTAATGAGCAGAGCCCTCTGATTCCTCTTCTACTGAATTGTATCATAACTGACCTGTCTGCCCTCATGTTATAAAGTGCTGCACAAACCATTGGTGCTACATAAATCCTGTAAAATAATAATATAGATTGTTTTGCTCGAAAGTTTGTACAGAAATTCTGAACAATCTTCCTTCAGAGTTTTTGATCTTACCACCATTGAGTCCACTAATTTCATTTGACGTCCCTTAGATTTTCATCCAGACCTACTACTTGGATGGAGTTCCAGGCATATTAAACAGGTTTCTCTAGTGCCTAGAACATGTGCATTACCACAGTCACGATTTTTTATTAATGGCGCATACCAGGGGCGGGACTGACCATTTGGAAACTCGGGCACTGCCCGAGGGCCCGGGGTCAGTAGGGGGCCCCATGAGATGCCCCTGGTACCTTTTTCATAGGCTTTTTTGAGTTTGGGCAAGGACACAGGGGCCCCATGATCCCCTATTGCCCGGGGGCCCCATGAGTTGTCAGTGCGCCCCTGGCGCATACACACAATAAGAAAATTGCACAAAACTTTCCATACGAAGGTTGATAGGCCGATTATCTGATTGTTAGTATAGTGCTTCTGACAGGTGATTCCAACTTTTCATATGATAAAAACTGAGGATGCAAGCTAGAAAATGTTATCGTATGTGAACACAACATCCGATTTTTGTTTAATGTGTACAGTATTTGTAGGGAAATAAGCGAATAGAAGAAATGCACTTGATCAGAAGCAAAGACCAACCCTACTCTTCCTTTTCTACTATAATATTACGTAGCTATGTTTGCTTTTGTTGGACGAGAATTTTTTTTAGAAGTGAATACCATTCCGACTACATCATGCTACGCACTGTCGAGGAAAATTGGATGATCGGTACACTAGGCTTAACAAAAAACACATCGACAAAATTTTTCGTCCTGCTCCTTTGAATTTTGGCTACAGTTCAAAGCAATCATGAGTTTGCTTGCACTAATCTTAGAAAATCAAATGAACATTCCCAAACTGAACATTTTGTAACTAAATTCTACTAGTGTATGGCCAACTTTAATTGACATTCTATGATGCAATAACATCCTGGCACATTAACTTCAGCAGTTATTTTTGCAGTTGGTTCTATCCTAATAGATCTGTAATGCCACACCATATAAATGTATAAATATACACCATCATACTAGACAGCTGAATAATATAGTTATAAAGTACGTTCTGCTGGAGATAATGAAGAAATGGTCTACAAAAACTGGAGGCAACAAACACAAATATTACTTGTAGTTATCAGTTATGTTTTTAAATTGTCTAACCTGCATTGGGAAAAAGGGATGTTAAACTATTGGCCATATTGTAGGCTACAAGTTGTAAATCCAATCCACAGTGTTATATATGGAGCAAATGTAGAAGACATCGAAGTGTCACATACAGCAGTACGTGACATGACATAACTCATGGGTCATGGTCAGGGGCGGACTGACAACTCATGGGGCCCCCGGGCAATAGGGGATCATGGGGCCCCTGTGTCCTTGCCCAAACTCAAAAAAGCCTATGGAAAAGGTACCAGGGGCATTTCATGGGGCCCCCTACTGACCCCGGGCCCTCGGGCAGTGCCCGAGTTTCCAAATGGTCAGTCCGCCCCTGGTCATGGTTATCCTAACAGAGTGCCCTAAGAGAGGTAGAATCACCAGTTACAGGAACGTGTCAGGGACAGGAAGTCAAAGACACCGATGATAACATCCTTTCCCACATTCCTGGAAGGATGAGCCCCTTATATGGCAAGCATAGGGATATGGATTATAGGGGAGGGGGAACTGTTAAGATGCAGTGTCTGCTTGGAGAAGAGCAGAGGTTATAAAGAATACACCAGGGGTAAGTTTAACCCTTAACTACCTCCATTAAAATAATTATAGATAAATGATTGGGGGTTATTAAAAGTGGAGCAGCTCTGCATAGAAACCAATCAGCTTCCAAGTTTTTTTTGCCAAAGCTTAATTGAACTAGCTGAAGTTAGAAACTGATTGGCTACTATGCACAACCCGCACCAGATTCTGAGTAAACACGTTTTAGTAAGTCTCCCCCATTGACTTATGAAGGATTTAATAAAGGTCACACAATTTCTTTTCATTTGATTTGCTTCTTGTGCTGTGCTGTTTCTTCTCCTTGGTACTAGCTTTCTTCCTGATCTGGATACCCTTTATTTATAAAGTTGTAACGTTTTACCTATGGTTCATCCCACCCATCCATTAGCCCTTTAAAACTTGTTCATCTCTCCTTTTACTGTGTTACTCACTTACCTCTGTTTCAGTTTCTGCAGGTCATCGGCCAAGTTGTCCCTTTCTACTTCCACTCGTGACCTTTGATTGGTGACGATGTCAACCTGGCGTCGCAGCTCCCTCATCTCTTCCTCATACAGCTCGCTGATCCTGGTTGGCTCCTTGCCCTTGATTCGGTTCACTTCGGCCACCAGGATGGCATTCTGCTGCTCAAGGTAGCGTACTTTTTCGATGTAGTTGGCAAACCTGTCGTTCAGTTCTTGCAGTTCCACCTTTTCATTGGTGCGAGTCTGCAGGAACTCTTGGTTCATGGCATCGGCAAGACTGAAATCGAGCACATCTGTGGCATAGCTTCGTACCGGGGTAATCCGTGATGCTCTGAAGCTGGATAGGCTAGGGACGGCGGCTGAACGGGACACCTGGTAGACCCTAGAGCTGGATGAGCTGGAGGCACCTCCTTTAGACCCAAAAGTGGCCCTGCTGTATGTCGGTGATGCCCCACCGAAGGTGCGGCGATAGGAAGACACCCCGCTGGCTGGATGAATAGGACTGGCTCATGGCTGCTCTTTTAGCTTTGGATGCGGAGAGCCTGGATGTTTGGCTCTGGAGGGATGAAGATCTTGGAAGTGGTGTGAAATGACAAGAGCGAGAGCCCTGATACTTGTCTATTTGTATGTTCTGGCCAGTGATGTCAGATACCTCCCCTCTGTGACAAGCCCAACTCCTGTCATGACTCTCTCTCCTGCCCCCTCCATCCCAGGCATCCTACTCATGCCAGTAAGGATCATGTGCAATTGTCTCTGGAACAGCTGCAAAGTGTCTCTGGGACAAGGAACAGATTTGAAAGAGAAGGGAATACTCAGGAAGGTTGGATGGGTGGAAATAGCTGAGAATCAAGGAATCAAAGTTTGTCCAAAAAATACTTTCGCTTTTGCTTAACCCTCTATGAAGTCACATAACTGACTTTTATCTCATGAGCACAGTTATAATGTTTTCCAAGCTTGTATATTAACTAAGAACCTGAAGAAAGAGGAAGGTAGATCCATATGTGTTGCGTGTTGTATTGTAAAGTCTGAAATGTCAGCTTGGATACTTGAGCAAATGTCCTGTAACAAGAAGGATCCTTGTTATGTCCTAAGAGAATAAAAAATTGATCTGCTGGTTAGTATTCCATTAACCTCCCTGGCGGTATGATTATTTCAGATTTTTGGTGCTGAAAGCGGTACCATTTTTTTTGCATGGAAATATGTAGTTTTTTATTGTAGGCTGTAATTTTTAGGAATAACTCACTGAAATCTGTACGAACAAGAGTCTAGTAAACATCCCGGATATGATAAAACTTGAAACATGAAATCATAAATTATAATTTAATAAATAATCATAAAAAATAATAATATAATAATAATAATAAATTTAATTCAATAATATAATCAAACCAAAAACACTGAAATTTGAAATACAGAGGTAAATTCACACATCGCTGAGCAAAGTCGCAAAATCGTTTTCAGTGTCTGATGAGGAATTTCCCCCACGAATCATTATCACTCAATTCTGCAAGTGGTTCTGATTTACTATCGCTGTTCTCTAGCCGGTCTAAAACCGCTTTTGACGTAAAGGGACGCTTTTTGGACGCCATGGACTTTTCTCAGTTTCCAGGCAATAAGAACAGTCAAAATGCAGGCAGGGCGCCGGACAAAGCAGTAGGGACAAAATATATGTGAAATGCATTGAAACAGCAATGACAGCAAAAATGACATTTTTTTAAAATTTCAAATTTCCCGCCGGTTCCGGCGCCCGTACGTCCCGACGTCACAGGGACCGGAACACGGATCGGCCGGAGGAGATGGCGGATGCGAAGGACAAGGTAAGTGCTGCAGGGACCCCCTGAGCAACGCCGCATAGTAAGCCCGAGTGTAGCTCGGGGTTACCGCTCTTGGTACTCAAATTTTACCCCGAGCTACACTCGGAATACCGCTAAGGAGGTTAATGTATATTTAGGACACAAATATTTGTAGGCTGTCATTGCTGAATTCTTCCAAAAATACTAGTTGCCTGGCTGCAATGCTGATCCTCTGGTTTCAGTCAATTCTTAGTCACTGACCTGGAACCAGTAGGTAGTCAATTTTGACTTCACTTTAGTTGCAGCATCATTGTGACAAGTCAGTGGCTCAGCAAGGTCTAAAGCCAAAGACAGCCCGGCAATTAGAATTTTTAAAGGGAGGTCAACAACAGCAATGTGTTTTTCTCACCATAAGTATACTCCGACACCTAATCTCACACTAAGAATGAACCCTAACCCAATCAACCTAATAGAGATACTCCAAAGACATGCTGGTAGGTTAATTGGCTCCTGTCTAAAATTGTCCCTAGTATGTGTATGTATGAATGTGAGTTAGGGACCTTAGATTGTACACCCCTTGAGGGTTAGGGAGTGATGTGAATGTACAATATGTATGTAAAGCACTGCGTAAATTGACGGCGCTATATAAGTACCTGAAATAAATAGATAATAAATAAATATTTAAACCTATCTCTTTTGCTAATCATAACCTTTAACCAAACACCCAAACGTAAGCTTCTAATCGATGTCCCTCAGGCTAACGCAGGCCATAGACGATGTGACTTTCTTTGCTTGATTCCCCCATCAACACAATGTTATAAAACAAAGCCAATGAAAAACAATTAAAAAAATCTAATTTCTTCATAAATTTCAGTAAAAATTTATTCTGTTATATGTCTTTGGTAAAAAAAAATCCCAATAAGTGTATAATAATTAGTTTGTGTGAAAGTTTTAGCATCTACAAACTATGAGTATATACACTGGAATTTATGCAGCTACAGTGCCGAGAAAATGTATTCATAACCCTTGAAATTTTCCACATTTTGTCATGTTACAACCAAACACGTAAATGTATTTTATTGGGATCTTATATGATAGACCAGTGGTTCTCAACCTGTGGGTCGCGACCCCTTTGGGGGTCGAACAACCCTTTCACAGGGGTCGCCCAAGACCATCGGAAAACACATATTTCAGATGTGTAAAGAGCAGTTACTGTGTAGAAAGCAGCTGCTGTGTTGAAAGCAGCTACTCTGTTAAAAGCAGCTACTGTGTTGAAAGCAGCAATATTGGAGGTAAAACGACACTCATGAATTATAATTACTGGATAAATAATTTTATGGTTGGGGGTCACCACAACATGAGGAACTGTATTAAAGGGTCACGGCATTAGGAAGGGTGAGTACCACTGTGATAGACCAACACAAAGTGGCACATAATTGTTAAGTGGAAGGAAAATGATAAATGGTTTTCAACATTTTTTACAAATATCTGAAAAGTGTGGCATGCATTTTTATTCAGTCCCCTTTACTCTTATACACCTACTAAAATCTAGTGGAATTGCTTTCAGAAGTCAACTAATTAGTAAATAGAGTCCACTTGTGTGTAATTTAATCTCAGTATAAATACAGCTGTTCTGTGAAGCCCTCAGAGGTTTGTTAGAGAACATTAGTGAACAAACAGCATCATGAAGGCCAAGGAACACACCAGACAGGTCAGAGATAAAGTTGTAGAGAAGTTTAAAGCAGGGTTAGGTTATAAAAAAATATCCCAAGCTTTGAACATCTCACGGAGCACTGTTCAATCCATCATCCGAAAATGGAAAGAGTATGGCACAACTGCAAACCTACCAAAACATGGCCGTCCACTTAAACTGACAGGCCGGGCAAGGAGAGCATTAATCAGAGAAGCAGCTAAGAGGCCCATGGGAACTATAGAGGAGCTGCAGAGATCCACAGCTCAGATGGGAGAATCTTTCCACAGGGCAACTATTAGTTGTGCACTCCAGAAATCTGGCCTTTATGGAAGAGTGGCAAGAAGAAAGCCATTGTTGAAAGAAAGCCATAAGAAGTCCCGTTTGCAGTTTGCGAGAAGCCATGTGGGGGACACAGCAAACATGTGGAAGAAGGGGCTCTGGTCAGAGGAGACCAAAATTGAACTTTTTGGCCTAAAAGCAAAACGCTATGTGTGGTGGAAAACTAACACTGCACATCACCCTGAACACACCACTGTGAAACATGGTGGTGGCAGCATCATGTTGTGGAGATGCTTTTCTTCAGCAGGGACAGGGAAGCTGGTCAGAGTTGATGGGAAGATGGATGGAGCCAAATACAGGGCAATCTTAGAAAAAAAACCTGTTAGAGTCTGCAAAAGACTTGAGACTGGGGTGGAGGTTTCCCTTCCAGCAGGACAACGACCCGAAACATCCAGCCAGAGCTACAATGGAATGGTTTAGATCAAAGCATATTCATGTGTTAGAATGGCCCAGTCACAGGCCAGACCTAAATCCAATTGAGAATCTGTGGCAAGACTTTAAAATTGCTGTTCACAGACGCTCTCCATCCAATCTGACAGAGCTTGAGCGATTCTGCAAAGAAGAATGGGCAGAAATGTCCCTCTCTAGATGTGCAAAGCTGGGAGAGACGTCCCCAAAAAGACTTGCAGCTGGAATTGCAGCGAAAGGGGGTCCTACAAAGTATTGACTCCGGGGGGCTGAATACAAATGCCGCCACACTTTTCAGGTATTTATTTGTATAAAATGTTTAAGACCATTTATCATTTTCCTTCCACTTCACAATTATGTGCCACTTTGTGTTGCTCTATCACATCCAATCCCAATAAAATACATTTACATTTTTGCTTGTAACATGACAAAATGTGGAAAATTTCAAGGGGTATGAATACTTTTTCAAGGCACTGTATGTAGATGCTATATTGGTAAGGGGCATATCTACTGTGAGGAAAACAAGGCATTTGCCTTGGGCAGCATTTTTCGGGGAAAGGCACCACCCCCCAGCCCCAGACAGAAGGGTTGGGACACTAAGGGCAGCACAGTGGCTAAATGGTTAGCACTTCCGCCTGGCAGTACTGGGGTTGTTGGTTCGAGTCCCAGCCACGCACCACCTGCCTGGAGTTTGCATGTTCTCCCTGTGCCTGTGTGGGTTTCCTCCAGGTACTCTGGTTTCCTCCCACACTCCAAAGACATGCTGGTAGGTTAATTGGATCCTGTCTAAATTGTCCCTAGTATGTGTATGTATGAATGTGAATTAGGGACCTTAGACTGTACACCCCTTGAGGGTTAGGGACTGATGTGAATGTACAATATATATGTAAAGCACTGCGTAAATTGGCGGCACTATATAAGTACCTGAAATAAATAAATAAATTGCATGCCTAACAATGCGCAATGTGTATAATATGTGCTGCTTTTGCTAAGAGATTTGGCAGTTTTTTCTCCCTGCTTTTCAGGGAGAAGAAACAGCCAGATCACTGCTCTGTGTACAGAGTCCTGTGTTGTTTGCAAACACAGGGCTCTGTGCTGTGATTGGAAACAGCTGATCATCAGGTCTAGGCCATAAATCATTGGCCGGGACCTGCTGACAAAATCCCACTCCCACCACAGCGCGGGCCAGCAGCGGGCGCACACATGCATTTTCCAGACCCAGAAGCAGGTTTACAACATTTATTTACATTGCTAAGCCTGCAGCTGCTGTCCCGTCAT